CGTTAGTCTCTTTTATGAAAGTAATGTGAAAGAATCATTACTTCACACGCGTCAGAGCAGCGCCGTTTTGGTATATCTCTGAACGTAAAACCTGTTACGTGGTTCACTTAGTGCGAGTGTTAGAGATATCCGTGATTCATTTGCAAATGATGGAGATTCTTTCTTTCGACTTCTGAAGATACCGACAGTTCTCGGAAATCTAGTACCAGTTTGTTAGTGAAATACATTAGCAAATCCTTGGTGAAGTAAATCCCAAGGGCCTGTTTACTCTCAAAAAGAATTGGGGACACACGAGACTAGTTTTGCTTGTCGCCAAACAACGGCTGCTTTTACTAAGTGTCCAAAAAGTAAAATTTCTGTCAAGTCGTGGGTTAATAAAGGCTGCACAAGTATTTGCAGTAACGAAGCCGCAGGGGTCACTGATGAAAAGATAAATTGTAAGGTGTACAGGGAAAAGAATCGGCTCGGCAGAGGAATGATAATAAATAGCAACGCGCACCAGACTAGCCGGTGCGATCATGCGTTTTGTGCAATTCCGCCCACCGAACGATTGCCTATTAGTGATTTTCACTGCTTTATACTTAGTCTGTGCAAAAATAGTTAAAACACTGAAAAGTAGTTACAAATTTCACGCACCGGCGCATGAAAGCTGAATTTGAAAACTTGAAATGTAAATATCCTTCCGTGATTCCCGAGATAATAGTTTATCAGCCAAAATTTTCACGAGGCCGTAAGTGATACCTGAGAGTGCGGGAACGTCGAATTTGAATTTGCAAGGTCATACGTGGACTGGGGATCACAACCCTAAATTTTCAGCTTCCTAGACTTGGTGGTTCCCGAGATAATAATTTACCCGTCAAAAATTTTCATGGGGCCATACATGTTATCCGCGGGTACGAGGAGTTTGAATTTAAATTTGCAGGGTCGCACGTGAATGGGGAAAGTTACCCTAAGTTTTCAGTCTCCTAGCTTTTGTGGTTCCCGAGTTGAAAGTTGCGGACAAGTTGCTGTGGAAGACAGACAACCCCGCGACAATATTTGTTTTGTGCGGCTGTTTCTCAGTACAGAACGCATAATAAAAAATTTGCTTCTAAATACAAATATGGCCTTAAATGCCGGTACGATTGAAGAATTTTTCAGGAATAAAGAAATCGTGCAAATCCGGTTATTAGCAACGATCGCTGTGCTTAACAGTTTCGGGATTGTTTGGTTAGTTCAGGAAATGTAGATACGAGTGTGCGCCCATAGATATATCTGTAAATGGATGCATGTGCTTGTGTGTATATATGTATGAATGTGTATATGTACATACGCTATTTTTCTGTGTGTAAGTGCATGTATGGGTGCATATTTGTAAGTGTGTGTGTGCAGAACTTTTAAACGATCTTTTAATAAAAAACATAAAAAATATTATTTCCACCAAACTATTACTTCCCACTAAATTTACGTCAAGTTTTCGGATTGGTCGTAAGTCGTGCGAGAGGTATGAAAAAGAGTTCTTGCACGCACTTCGTTGATTCGTTTCAGCGCTAAATTGATCCTGTCTAGCAAATCAAGCTGCTTTTGGCTTGTCTTCTTCCAACAGTCATCGGAGGAGGAAGTCAGTCTTGCCAGCGAGTGGTCATTTGCTTGAAACAACTGCAAGTCCACTATCGAATCATATTTCGAGCTTTCACCGGTGGTGTAGTCGATAACCATACTAATCTTTCCTCACTTCGTGGGTGTTCATGCTAGTACCACTTACCCATTTGAGTGGTACCCAT